TTATTATTAAAAAAGAAAAATAAATAAATTTAAAAAATAAATAAATAAAGAAATAAAATCCACTTACCAATGAATTCGATAATCGCTAAGAAATTTGTTGTCATCATCCTGAAATAATATAATTTAAAAAAATAATAAATAAATAAATAAAACAAAAAAAATTAACAAATAAATAATAAATTACTTACCATAACCATTAGTAATTTATCTAAGCTAAAAAAAAAAAAATTAAAATGATATTAATTAAATTTAATAAAAAATTAAATCCCAAACTTTTATTACAAACAAAATTGCTAATTAATATTAAAAAATAAATAAATAATAAATTAAAAAAATAAACAAACAAAAAATTAAATTAAAGCAACTTACCATTATAGGCACTAATCGCTAATTTCACAATTTTTAACTGATCCTGAAATATAGAAATTTAAAAATTAATATTCTAATTTACACACATTTTGACACTTTACCCTTTCATTTCGCTCTACCACCTTACCACTCTATAGTCTCTCACAGCCTTCCACTTATCCCACTGCCTTCACTACCCCTACTGCTCCAATTTCTCCACCTCACTACTCACTTAATTAGAAACAAACTCTAAAATAAATTAAAAATATATTAACAAACAGCAAAAAAAGAGAAAATAAAACAAATATTTAAAAAAAATATATTTACTTACCGCAGCTGAAGTTGATAAACTTGCTTTCTTCAGTTCTAAAGAAAGAAGTTTACAATAGTATATTGGCAAAAAAGATTATCAATTTATTAATTGATAATCAATTCAAGATCTGAATTCAAATTCAAATCCAATCTGAATTTGACGGATCAGATTCAAATCTGAATCTGAATCTGACAGATCAGATCTGAATCTGAATCTGAATCTGATGGATCAGTTCCAATCCGAATCTGAATCCAAATTAGATCTGAATCTAACAGATTTAATCTGAATCTGATCTGTCAGATTCAGATTGAATTCAGATCGATCTGAATCTATGCGGAACACTAATTGTTAGTAATTGCTACATTTACTTTACTAATCTAATTTAAGCAGTTGAAGTTTAGTTAAAATAGTTTGACAGATATTATTGTCATTATAAGAATAATTAATTAGTATAACACAAATTAATATATCATATAATTCCATATTTTCTGTAAGCTAATAATATGTAATTCTAATATAATCTGATTTTAAATGAGATGTCCAAAGATCTGTAGTTATAGCTGCTGTATCATAGTTATGAATAATCATTTCCTTTATAGCCTGAAATACAGCTTAATATCTATAACTAATATCTTTTTTAATCGTTACATAACATGATAACTTAAATGCAAAATTAAGCTTATTAATCATATATAAAAATTCTTCTTCATTTGCTGAATTAAAAGGTTAAGAATCTATTACTAGCCAATCAGCCAAAACATTCTTTAATTTACGTTGCTTAGGTTCTTTATGTAGTATAACTTTTTTTATTTGATCATCTACTTTTAATTATTTCTAAAAAATAAAAATAATATATTAATTTAATATATATCTATCTATAATAAAAATGCATAATAATAATATTGTCTTACTAATTCTAATTTTTCTTTTTCAAACTCTTTATGAATAGAATTTAAATGATATTATTAAGTGCTAGTTTGAGTATTATATATGCAACTATAATTACATTCTTTTTCTATTCCATTTTTTAATATTTTATATCTGCAATAAGCATGTCTGTCAGTTTTAATTCTAAAATGCTTCTACACCTAACTTGTTTTATTATTTTAAAGTTCAATCCACTAAAGTTTTTGCAGATTAATATTTGAAGATAAATCAACAATATTATTTCTTTTGGTTAATCAGATTAAAATAATATTAGTTTAGCGTTTATGTTTTCTATTCTAGTCTAGCATTTAAAAGGATATTAAAAAAATTTTGAATTTTTCACGTTAAAATTAAACACGTTGTGATGATCATCCGATATTTAAAAATTTAAATATTATAAATAAAAAATCTGATACTTTGAAATG